AGGGATCCCTGGACTGAAGGTGTATGGGGAAGGGGGACAAGCCTGGAAAGGTAGGAGGGGGAGGGCTATGGAGGGCCTTGAACACCCACAGAGGGTTTTGTGTTTGCTCCCGGAGGCAATAGGGAGCCATGGGAGGTTACTGAGTCAGGGGCTGCCACGGTCAGACTGTGTGTGTGTTAGGAGAATCCCTTTGGTGGTGGACTGGAGGATGGACGAGAGGGGAGAGACGAGGCAGGCAGGACCCCCCCTCCCCGCAGCCACTGCAATGATGCAGGCGTAAGGTGGTGAGGATCTGTCCCAGGAGGGCAGCGGGGTCACAGGAGACAACGGGGCCCATGGAGAGATGCTGCAGATGACCGGTTCCCAGGAGAAGTGGTGGAACATTTGCTGGCAGAGGGACAGCAGGGGCCAGGGCTACCCTGTGGACCATCAGCAGGCCCCACACACCTCCGGGCTGTGCCAAGAGGGCTGCTGCACGGTCTTCGTCCTCCGGAGGACCCCATGGCTGGGAGCCCCACTGGCGGGACAGCTCACTGCAAGGCCATCGATCACACACCCAGGTAGCGGCCTGGCTGGGGGACCCAGGAGGGCAGGACCTGCCTTTGCTTTTCTGTCGTATCAATTTGGTTTTGCTTTTAGGGAAGAGATGGCTACACGCGGATGAGCTTTTGTAGGCCAGAATAGTAGGAGCCGAGGCATGGCCGCACTGCCCATGCTAGGACCTGTCAAAGGCCGTGTGGGCGAGGCAGCAGCCGAGGCCTGGGGAGCGACCTGCTTGACCCAGTCCCCCAGCGGCTGAGACCAGGATTCATCTATCTGCTCTGCACACTCAGAGGTGACCTTGGCAAGACAAGCTCTGTGGAGAAGCTGCCTGCTCTTGCCAGAGATTAGAAAGGCTCAGGGGGTCAGTGTATCCCCAGGTCTGGGGAGGAACACTTGTCATGCTGTTCTCTTCTCAGCAAGAATCCCTCTGTGACAACTGGTTGGTGTTAACTGTTTAAATGAAATCAGGCTTGTGATATATGATTGGGATGGAATACTATTGTGCTCTGAGAAATGATGAGCAGGATGCTGTCAGAACAACCTGGAAAGACTCACAGGAACTGATGCAGAGTGAGGTGAGCAGAACCAGGAAAATGCTGTACAAAGCAACAACCATGTTGTGCCATGATTAACCATGAACCAGTTAGCTCCTGTCAATTCTGAAGGGACCGAAGTGCTCTCTGCCCCCAGGAAGAGAGCTGAAGGAGTCTGAATGCAGACCCAAGCAGATGTTTTCACTTTATTTTTCTTGTTTGTTTGCTTTTTGGTCTGTGTTTTCTTTTACAACATGACTACTAGAGAAATATTTTTGCCTGACTGCACATACCTAACCTAGATCAAATTGCTTGCCTTCTCAATGAGTGGAGAGGGGAACGAGGGAGGGAGAGAATTTGGAACTCAAAATTAAAAAAGAAAACAATGGTATTGTTTTTAAAAGTAATTGTGAAAATAAAATAATTTAAAAATGAAATTGGGCACCAACACACCTAATAGTGTCTCAAGTCCATAAAAACAGAATCATCCCAACTCCTCGGTGACAGACCTAAAACCCTGATGGGGAGATGAAGGCGACAGAACTCCAGAGACCTGACCTACTTGTGTACATGTGGGCTAGAAAAGTAAGTCCAGAGCCTGGCTATATGAAAATTCTTTTTTTTTTTTTTGGCTAGGCAATTGGGGTTAAGTGACTTGCCCAGGGTCACACAGCTAGTAAGCATCAAGTGTCTGAGGCTGGATTTGAACTCAGGTCCTCCTGACTCCAGGGCTGTTGCTCTATCCATTGCGCCACCTAGCTGCCGCTTACATGAAAATTCTGTGTCTTATCCCCAATGCAGAGCAAAGATCAAGCCTGTGAATCTGGACCTGATGATTCCCTGGGCACAACTGAGTTAAGCCAATGGTGTCATGAGAAAAGAGGCTTGGGATGAAGGCCCCCCACCTGCTCCTGAGGAAGCAGTACAGGGAAGGTGTTAACTAAGGGAAAGTCCTGACCAGGAGGAAGCACTTGCTAAACCCTCACTATGTGCCAGGGGCTGTGCTAAGCACTTTCCAAATGTCTCCTTGGATCCTCTCAACAGCCATGGAAGGTAGAGCTGTTATTGTCATCTCATTTTACATTTGAGGAAACTGAGAAGACAGTGACCTACCCAGGGCTACACAGCTAGTAAGTGTCTGAGGCCGGATTTGAACTCAAGTCTTCCTGACTCCAGGCCTAGCGTGCCACCCATAGCACCACCCGGCTGCCTAGAGGCCTAGAGACTATGCCCAAAGGAAAGTCTGACCATCCAAGAGGAAGGGGCAATTGTTCTGTTTGCCTGGGGCCGCTCCAAGTGGTGAGGGCATCCGATCAGATGGGGCACTGCCCTCGGCAGCCTCCTTCCGACGTGGCCCGGGGGGCATTAATGCCTGTTCTCGAGCCCCATCTCTCCATCTAGATCACAATCAACACGAGATACTTTGTCTGAGGCTTTCTTTGCTGACTTCCAGGCAAGCCCCACGGGGAGGGAGCATTTGCTCAGCCCATAACTCATCAGTCTGGCCTGACCCGCGCCATCAGAAGCTGCACTGCCTTGTTCTTTTCTCGATCCAGCTTTCTGCCCAGCTGCCAAAGCCCAGGGGAACCAGCAAATAGGGGAAACCGGGTACTAGGGTCAAAATGATGGGACCCTGGGGAGAAGGGAGTGCTCCAGCTTAGACTCTGTGATTGAGGAGGACGGGCAGCCCAGACCTAGGCTGAGATGAAAGCAAGAAGTGAAGGGAACCCATTCCAAAGCATTCGGAGACAGGAGACCTAGAATTCTATAAGCAGAACCAGGCCCAAGGGATGGGAAAACACGAGAATGAGACTGTGAAGGCCCAGAGAGAAATGAGGGGGCACCTGGAGGGATGGGCACGAATGGGCAGAGAGCTCAGGGTCTGCTGTCCTAAGAGAAGATGGAAACACTGACATCAGGTCCCTTGGAGGTTTAATGATTGGTTGGACCCAGAGAACCATGGTGTGTCCCCTTGGAAGGAAGGCTCTAGCAGTGGGCCACGGGTCTCTCTCCTCAACATGAACCTTGTCAGTGTTTGCATGAAGGCATGCTGATCAAATTTTCAGATAGCCTGAATATGGTCCAGTCTGCTGACATGGCAAAATGCCACAAAGGAAGGGTCCCCAAGCATCCGGCCCCAGCATTCCCAAGGCTTGATCTCAGGGATGGCCCCCCCCTTCTGTTCGAGAGGTGGGGGTCTGGAGAGACAGAGGATTGGTGGCTTTGGGCTTCCCCTCTGAGGCAGAAACAGAGTGCTAATGGGCTTGGAGGCCAAGGGCCTGGGTTCGAGTCAGCCCTGACATTTGGCAGGTGTCATTTAAAAGAGGCCTATTTAGGGGGCAGCTAGGTGGCACAGTGGATAGAGTACTGGCCCTGGATTCAGGAGAACCTGAGTTCAAATCCAGCCTCAGACACACAGCACTTACCAGCTGTGTGACCCCGGGCAAGTCACTTAACCCCATTGCCTAGAACAAAAAAAAAGGGGGGGGGCTATTTGCTCATCTCTCACATGGTGATATCGATGCTGTCACGGGAGGGGCATGGTCAGCTGTAATTCATGGCATCAAGAGCTGGGAACAGCTCAGTAATCACCACCTCCTCCTCCAGAGAGCAGACAGGCTGCCAACATGGTGCCAAACCATCTATTAACACCTACTATGGGTCAGGGGCATTGCCAGGATGGAAGAGGGGTGCCAGGACCGAAGGAGCAACAGTCCCTGCCCTCCAGGGTGTGCCCAGCGACAGGCAGCTGCCCCTGGGGGAGGGGCCCAGCAGCGGCTGGACCAATCTTCATACAAAGAAGGTTCTGTCTCACGGGGGTGGGGGGTCTGCCTGAGGACCTCCAGGGAGGAGGATGAGGAGGAGGGGTGGGGGACGTCCAGCTTCTGCATGAAGACCCCCCAGTAAGGAGGAGGGGGAGGTGGGGAGGTGTGTCCAGCCTCTTCCTGACGACCACCCCTCCCCCCCAGGAAGAGGAGGAGGAGGAGGAGGAGGAGGAATGGGGATGTCCAGGCTCTGCACGAAGACCCCCCAGGGAGGAGGAAGGGGAGGTGTGGGGGGGTATCCAGCCTCCACCACCTCTGCTACCACTGCGCAGCCCCAGTTTCAGCAGCTGGACAGTTCTCAGTGATCTCTATCAGGCCCCAATCTGGAGCTACTCGCTGCCTCTTTCCCGTCCCCTCCTCTGCCCCCAGCCTTCTTTTCTTCAGTCCAGACACACCCCGATTCTTCATCAGACCCTCCCAGGATGACCCTCAGTCCTCCAGGGCAGGTGGGATCCACCCCTTAATCATCTACCGCAGTCCACAGTGATTTTAGGGCTTTGGGCCCTTCTCGCTTTGCCCCGTGCCGTCCCTTGGACACCCTCTGAGCTTGTGGTCCACTAGGACCCCCAGATCATTTCTAGAACTGATGACCTCTAAGCCCCGCCCCCTTCTACTTGTGAAAGCCATTATTTGCACCCAAGGGTTATGAACTGCGCCAGCCATCCTCGTCCAAGCCACTGGTCAGTGCGTCACACCCCCCACGGCTAAGAACAGAGCCCTGTGGCACTCCACTGGAGACCTAGGCGCAAGGGAGAATTCCCTGGGGAATTACTGGAGACACTTTGCCTCCAATCCAGGTCAAGGAGGCTTGTGGCGCAAGTGGCCTCTCGAAGGCCCACCCACACTTCCGGCTACGCATGCGCGCCTTCAGAGTGGGCGGGGCCGAGCGGCGAGCAGCGCCTCCTTTACGTCATCTCCCCTTGCCGGAAGCGCGCTCCCTCGCAGCCTCCTCCACGTGGGCCCCGGTATTGCATCAGATCTCGGCGGGCAGCGGGAGGGGAGGACAGGGCGGAGAAGGGGGTAGGGGCCTGACCTGGCGAAGGAGGGTGGGGCGGCCCCCCCCCCCCCCCCCCCCCCCCCCCGGCCGCTCCTCGCCTTCCCCCGCCCCGGCCCTGGGATCCAGACCCAGCGGCCCCCTCCCGTCGCCCGCGCAGTCTTGACAAGCTCCGTCATCAGGGGTAAACTGAGGCCCCGCCATGTGCGGCATCTGGGCGCTGTTTGGCAGCGACGAGAGCCTGCCGGCGCAATGCCTGAGCGCCATGAGGATCGCCCACCGGGGCCCCGACGCCTTCCGCTTCGAAAATGTGCGCGGCTTCACCAACTGCTGCTTCGGCTTTCACCGGCTGGCCGTGGTGGACCCCGTGTCCGGCATGCAGCCCCTCCGTCTGCAGAAGTTCCCCTCCCTGTGGCTGTGCTACAACGGCGAGATCTACAACCACCGGCAGGTGAGGAACCGGGGCAGGGGGCCGGACACATTCCCTCACACTGGGAGCGGGGTGGGGGGCTGGGGGCACTTGCCATCGCGCCTTCGGCTCGAACTCGGAGGGGGAGGGGGTCCCGGCTTCATTTCTGCTTTTGGCATCCCAGTTCTTCCCGTCCTCTGGGCTCCCCACTCTTTCCCCTGAGTGTCCAATATGGTACCAAGGCCTGTCCATTTCACCTCCGCTACGTCTGTGATCGATTTCACTGCCTGTACATCTCTGGTCAATTTCACCTGTCCTGCATCTCTGGTCAGTTTCGCCTCCTCTACATCTCTGGTCAATTTCGCCTCCTCTACATCTCTGGTCAATTTCACCTGTCTGGCATCTCTGATCAATTTCACCCGTCAGGCATCTCTGGTCAGTTTCGCCTCCTCTACATCTCTGGTCAATTTCACCTGTC